GGAATAATGAGAATAATTAACTAGACGAGTTCGGAATAAGTAGAATAATTTGCGCAACACAATCTTCAATTCCCCAAAGGCACCCGTCCCTTTGGGAATAACAATTATATTTAGAAGACTGATGATACGTAGACTGTTTAGCAAACAGGTCTCTTCAATTCCCCAAAAGACGCCTGTCCCTTTGGGAGTGGTTCGAATACTTAGAGCAATGAAAAGACGTAGAATGATGAGAACAAGCATGAATCTGGAAGTCCCCAAGAGGCACCCGTTGGGAGTAATGAGAAGAATTAATTGGAAGAGTTATGAGAAGTATTATTATTTGCAAAATCAATCTTTAATTCCCCAAACGCACCCGTCCCTTTGAGACTAGCATTTGTATTTAGAGGACGGTTTACAAGTAGAATACTTAGCACACAGGACTTTTGAATTCCCCAAACGGCACCCGTCCCTTTGGGGGTGGATCGAATACTTAGAGCAATTATAAGACGCACAATGATTAGCGCAAACATAAATTTGGAATTCCACCAATGTAACAGTCACCCGTCCATTTCAAAATAAAGAGAAACCTAATTAGAAGAGGTATGCTAAGTAGTATAATTTGCACAACAGCCATCTTCAATTCCACAAAGGCACCCGCCCCTTCAGGAAAAACAATTATATTTAGAAGACTGATGATAAGTAGAACAATTAGCACAGAGGACTCTTGAATTCCCAACAAGCCACCCGCCTCTTTGGCAGTGGTTGGAATACTTAGAGCAAGTCTAAGAAATAAAATGATTAGAAAATTGACTTCCCAAAAGACACCCGTCCCTTTGGGAAGAATGATAAGAACGAATTAGAAGAGTTATGATAAGTATAATAATTTACAAAACAACCAGCAAACATGAATATTATTGAATTCCCCCAAGTCATCCCTTTGGAACTCATGAGAGAATACTTAGAAGAGGTGTGCTAAGTAGTATAATTTGCAAAAACAATCTTCAATTCCCCAAAGGCACCCGTCCCTCTGGGAATAACAATTATGATTAGAAGACTGATGATAATTAGCAAACAGGACTCTTGAATTCCCAAAAAGGCACCCGCCCCTTTGGCAGTGGTTCGAACACTGAGAACAAGTATAAGACACACAATGTTTAGAACAACAATTAATTTGGACTTCCCCAAGAGTGACCCGTCCCTTGGGAGAAGAACTAGAAGAGTTATGATAAGCAGAGTAGTTAGCAAACTTGAATATTCCATCCCGAGAGGCACCCGTCCCTTTGGGAAAACAAGTGCACTTAGAGACTGATGATAAGTAGAACAATTAGCAATCAGGACTCTTGAGTTCCCCAGAAGGCACCCGTCCCGTTGGAACTCATGAGAGAACTAGTTAGAAGAGGTATGCTAAGTAGAATAGTTTGCAAAAACCAATCTTCAATTCCCCAAAGGCCCCCGTCCCTTTGGGAATAACAATTATAGTTAGAAGACTGATGATAAGTAGAACAATTAGCACAGAGGACTCTTGAATTCCCAAAAAGGCGCCCGTCCCTTTGGGAGTGGTTCGAAGACTTAGAGCAAGTCTAAGAAATACATGATTAGAACAAACAATAACTGGAATTCCCCAAAAGTCACCCGTCCCTGTGGGAAGAATGATGAGAATGAATTAGAAGAGTTATGATAAGTAGAATAATTTACAAAAACAACCAGCAAACATGAATATTGAATTCCCCAAAGTCATCCCTTTGGAACTCATGAGAAAAACTAGTTGGAAGAGGTCACAACTATAATTAGAACACTGATGAGAAGTACAGCAATTAGCACAGAGGACTCTTGAATTCCCAAAAAGGCACCCGTCCCTTTGGGAGTGGTTCGAATACTTAGGGCAAGTCTACGAAATACAATCAATAGAACAAACAATATTTGGATTTCCCCAAAAGTCACCCGTCCCTTTGGGCAGAATGATAAGAATGAATTAGAAGAGTAATGATATGTAGAATACAAAAACAACCAGCAAACATGAATATTGAATTCCCCAAAGTCATCCCTTTGGAACTCATGAGAAAACTAGTTGGAAGAGGTATGCTAAGTAGTATAATTTGCAAACACAATCTTCAATTCCCCAAAGGCGCCCGTCCCTTTGGGAATAACAATTATAATTGGAAGCCTGATGTTAAGTAGAACAGTTAGCACAGAGGGCTCTTGAATTCCCAAAAAGGCACCCGTCCCTTTGGGAGTGGTTCGAAGACTTAGAGCAAGTCTAAGAAATACATGATTAGAACAAACAATAACTGGAATTCCCCAAAAGTCACCCGTCCCTTTGGGAAGAATGATAAGAATGAATTAGAAGAGTTCTGATAAGTAGAATACTTTACAAAAACAACCAGCAAACATGGTATTGAATTCCCCAAAGTCACCCCTTTGGAACTCATGAGAAAACTAGTTGGAAGAGGTATGCTAAGTAGTATAATTTGCAAAACCAATCTTCAATTCCCCAAAGGAACCCGTCCCTTTGGGAATAACAAAGCAGGCACCCGTCCCTTTGCCAGTGGTTCGAAGACTTAGAGCAAGTCTAAGAAAAAATGATTAGAACAAAAGAGAATTTTGAATCCCCCCCTGGGGAAGAGTGATAAGAATGAATTAGAAGAGGAGTGATAAGTAGAATAATCTACAAAAACAACCAGCAAACATGAATACTGAATTTCCCAAGTCACCCGTCCCACTTTGGAACTCATGAAGAAAAGATAGAAGATGCATGCTAAGTAGTATAATTTGCAAAAACAATCTTCAATTCCCCAAAGGCACCGTCCCTTTGGGAATAACAATTACAATTGGAAGACTGATGATAAGTAGAACAGTTAGCTCAGAGGACTCTTGAATTCCAAAAAAGGCACCCGTCCCTTTGGCAGTGGTTCGAATACTTAGAGCAAGTCTAAGAAATAAAATGATTAAAACAAACAATATTTGAATTCCCCAAAAGTCACCCGTCCCTTTGGGAAGAATGGTAAGAATGAATTAGAAGAGTTATGATAAGTAGAATAATTTTCAATAACGACCAGCAAACATGAATATTGAATTCCCCAAAGTCATCACTTTGGAACTCATGAGAAAACTAGTTGGAAGAGGTATGCTAAGTAGTATAATTTGCAAAACCAATCTGCAATTCCCCAAAGGCGCCCGTCCCTTTGGGAAAAACAATTATAATTAGAAGACTGATGATAAGTAGAACAATTAGCACAGAGGACTCTTGAATTCCCAAAAAGGCACCCGTCCCTTTCGCAGTGGTTCGAATACTTAGAGCAAGTCTAAGAAATGAACTGATTAGAACAAACAATATTTGAATTCCCCAAAAGTCACCCGTCCCTTTGGGCAGAATGGTAAGAATGAATTAGAAGAGTTATGATAAGTAGAATAATTTTCAATAACGACCAGCAAACATGAATATTGAATTCCCCAAAGTCATCACTTTGGAACTCATGAGAAAACTAGTTGGAAGAGGTATGCTAAGTAGTATAATTTGCAAAACCAATCTGCAATTCCCCAAAGGCACCCGTCCCTTTGGGAAAACAATTATAATTTCAAGACTGATGATAAGTAGAACAATTAGCACAGAGGACTCTTGAATTCCCAAAAAGGCACCCGCCCCTTTCGCAGTGGTTCGAATACTTAGAGAAAGTCTAAGAAATGAACTGATTAGAACAAACATGAATTTGGAATTCCCTAAAAGTCACGTGTCCCTTTGGGAAGAATGATAAGAATGCATTAGAAGAGTAATGATAAGTAGAATAGTTTACAAAAGCAACCAGCAAACATGAATATTGAATTCCCCAAAGTCATCCCTTTGGAACTCATGACAAAAACAATTACAAGAGGTTTGCTAAGTAGTATAATTTGCAAACACAATCTTCAATTCCCCAAAGGCACCGTCCCTTTGGGAATAACAATTACAATTGGAAGACTGATGATAAGTAGAACAGTTACCGCAGAGGACTCTTGAATTCCAAAAAAGGCACCCGTCCCTTTGGCAGTGGTTCGAATACTAAGAAATAAAATAATTAAAACAAACAATATTTGAATTCCCCAAAAGTCACCCGTCCCTTTGGGAAGAACGATACGAATGAATTCGAAGACTGATGATAAGTAGAATACTTAGCAAACAGGACTTAGTTGTGCACCTGTGGCCTTTGTCAGTCTCCTGACATCGAACCTAGCTGCACGCCTGTGCCCTGTGTTAGGCCACGGACAATACTACTTAGCTGCGTGCTTGCATTTCTTTTGCTGGTCATGAAATTGAAATTGAAACATGCACACGAGAAAATAACACATGTTTGAACCAAGTGTCTATTTATTCAGCAGTATCCTTGTGCATGGTAAGCGCATATTATCTCTGTAGCACCATGTGGGAATAGAGTTTTGGTGTGCGTGTGAGTGCATGAGCATGTAACATGAAGTGGTGCTCAAATGCAAAAAAACGCGCGGCGACGCATAGGACTCATTCTTCCCTGCCACGGGGGGGGGGGGGTTGTTTGGTTCTGTTTGGGGCCCCTCTCTCCCGGCTGGCCTCTTCGAAGACGTCGGCTTCGGCGTCCCCCACACCGAGCGCTGTCCGTTTGGGGGCAGTTCTCCTACAAAGTCCTACTACTACTCGGCCTTGGCTGCAGCATGGTCACCAACCACACACACCATCAACTTTATATATTGGCCAGGTGGCCTTGGTGCCTTGATCCTAAGCATGTGCCGACCTGGGAACACTGCACTTGGGGGTGCCCCGCGGCTCCTGTGCCGCCTGATGTGCAAATACCAGTAGATGCCTTGCAACGCCGCCTTGGGTGGCTGACGGCAGACCCTGCACGAGCAAACTCAGATGTAGCTGTCGCCAGATGGCTTGCATGTGTCCGGGGGACTGTTCTCTCGAAAAGGCATGGCCATGCGGACCTTGCCTGATGGCAAGGTTTGCGAGGGAGGCTACACCCCATCCGGGAGCGGTGCCTGCCATGGTCTACCAACACACACACATTGGCCAGGTGGTGACTGGCGTTTTCTGCCACACGGCTATCGAGTCTGCCACCGCCGACAAGGAGATCGTGGTCATGAGCCAAATGCAGAAGCAACGCTGCTGAATATTATGGTGCGCTTTGTGTGCAAACTGTTTCCCAATATTGGGTCCAATTTTGCATGTCAAACACATTTTTCCAATGTGGGCAGTTGTGTTAGCGCTAAAAGGGCTTATTGCATCCAGCCCCTGAGCCACCAGAGGAGCGTGTCACATCTCAGCTGCGCAACAACTCAGGCAAGCAGCACAGGTGAGTGCCTTGCGGGAGATGTTCAAGGACACGCAGCCACCAGCAAGTCGTTGCCGATGAGTTGCTTACATGGTGCTGATATGGCGGGTCCTTGTTGAGAGTCCAGTGTCATTTTGCGCAGCCTGCAAAAAACGGCCAACCCCTGGAGCGCATTGCCCACCTGCGCCACGAGTGGATAGTCACTCATCATGTTGCATGCCACGTTGTAAAGGGGCATCACGTTCGTGTTCACCGGGCACCCTTATGTTTGCTGTTTGGAGGAACCCCAAGAGAATCCGGCCATGTTGACGGGTCCCTGTTTTAGGAAGCACCGATGTACCAACAATGCTTGGAACTGCCTGGGGCGTTTACTCTGGCTTTGGTGCTAGCGTCAATCTGTTGCTGACGAACATGTCTGAGTTCCAAAGTTCCTTTCCTGGAAAGACTCCTCTAAACGGAAGTCACCAGAAGATGAAGAATTCTTCAAGTTGACACTCAGTTTCCCCGTTTTGTTTGGCGGGACGGACCAAAAAGGCGATCTTTTCAGGGCAACTGGCCCCGGATTTGAGGAAATGGACAAGGACGGCTCCGGCGTAGCGGCTGAGTTTGCATTTGGTCGGCAACAACGATGCGCATGTTTCTTTCAGCTTCTTTGTTCCGGATTCTTTGCGCATCACAGAGCCTGACACGTCTTGGGCTGGCAAACATCATATTCTAGTGTTGTGTCTATCGCTGCTTGCGCCGAGATCAGAGGTTTTACACAATTGCAATGCACAGAACTCCTCGGCGTGAGCCAAGGGCAGGTCTGGGCGTGTGTGTGTGTGTGTGTGTGTGTGTGTGTGTGTGTGTGTGTGTGTGTGTGTGTGTGTGTGTGTGTGTGTGTGTGTGTGTGTGTGTGTGGTGTGTGTGTGTGTGTGTGTGTGTGTGTGTGTGTGTGTGTGTGTGTGTGTGTGTGTGTGTGTGTGTGTGTGTGTGTGTGTGTGTGTGTGTGTGTGTGTGTGTGTGTGTGTGTTTGTTTTTAAAGGGCACCCTTTTGGGGGTAGTTCAAAGATGTTCAAAGTGAAACCCAAGGGACACTTTCAATTGTTGGGGTGCGCTCAGCGCTCCATGTTCCAATCGGATTTACAAAAGCCGACTTTGTGGCCGTTGGAAAACTATTTGGCCTCACTGAGCAACTTTGACGATAACAGTATGGCATTGTTCGGGGTCTTGTTCCGACGAAAGGTCCTCTGCAACGTCTTAAGTTGAGCTTTTCTGGCATCGCAGAAGTGAAGCAACATTGCCTGCTTCCAGAACTATGCAAATAAGGTGACCAAGAGTAATAAGTTACTTTGGGCAGCCAATGCAGTCATCATACGAAGGAGTAATGGACCAGCCTGTGTGGCAGAACAGCGTGGATGAGCTAGCGGGCCCCACCTAACTACGCTAGTGGCAACTCTTAGCCGTGGTGTTGCAACGTGCGCGAGGCGTTCAACCACGCACGTTCTCCCCCCCGAGCCCGCACGTGAGGCAGTGTCTATGCCAGATAGCTGTTTCTGCAAAATTGCACATCTTACACAGGCGTCCGGTGACGTTGTCAGCTTCCGCAAATCCCAACACACCCCAAAAGGGACGGCCTGGCTGTGGAACCAACAACAAGTTACTCAGGTTATGCCAGGTTGTTCCCGTTCCCCTTCACCAAGTTCTCTTCCACTCGCCTTTCCGAAAAGGTGTTTGCTCTCGGCTCCAGCTCCCGAAGGGAGCATCGAGAGCACCGAGAGCGCCGCGCGAGGTGAGTGTGGAGGAGCTGAAAGGCGCCTTGGGCTCGGAGAAGGTGTCGAGCTTCTTGGAGTCCATGGACATTGCCACCACGGACCGAGAGCGTCGCTGCTTGTTCTGTGTCTGTTTCTTTTTGTTTTTCCCCCCGCGTGGGTCAGGGTCCAACCAAGTCTCCAGGATTGTGTTTTTTTTCCGCATCGGTCAGGTAAGTCAACTTCAACTTCAGTGGCACCATGTGTTGGGCCCAACAGTTCCACCCAGAGCAGGTTTCGGTGTTTGTTTTTTCACATCGGTCTCAGCGAGCGCCCGCGGAAGGGTTGTTGGGGGTGTTCACGCGGGTCGCTGATCAACCGCTTGTGCACTGGATTGAGGGTACTTCTAACTCCTTTTTTTTCATGGTTTACCACGTAATTAACATCAAGCCTAGCAAAAGGTGTCGCTAGCCACATTGCATTCGGCAGTTGACTCCTTCATTTGTTTGTTCCTCGGAGAGATGCGGTGGTGCTGCCAAGAGAGGTTCCTCAACAGAGGGGTCATGTTATAAACAAGTTATAAATATTTGTATTTGAACTTCAATCAATCTCAATTGCGTTCCTTCAGGTGAGTTGATATTGAAGCTTTGTAAAGAAAGCCGGACAACTGGCAAGCGGTCCAAGCCTTTGTGACCGGACGTACTGCTGGATCCTGTACCGTTTGCATTGAGGGGAGCAAATCTGAGTGCTGTTGATCCAAAGGGGTGCAAGCTTTTTTTTGGACTATCCAGATGCCTCACAGGTTTCAGGCAATCTGGGTGGGCACTTGCTTGCTTGCCAACTTGGGGAAATTCCAGCTTCCCTTTTGGCCTATTGGCGCCCCCCTTTTGGGATGGTTTCACATCGCCTGTGGGGTGCCTTTTTAAGTGAGTTCCTTTTGGTGGGGTGATCTGAGAAGGAGACACACGTGTGTGTGTGTGCGCGCACGTTTTCTGAGGGGAAAGTTGATTTGGTTGAATTTAACGGAGAATACAAGGAAGTTTACATAAATCCACAAGTTTGGGGGTCCGTAATTGTGAGTTCGAACTTATGGGAACATTGATCTTTTTCACTGGCGCAGTACTATGCCGTGTGCCGAAGCCTGGACTAGGCACCCCATAATTATCAGTGGATTTCACGTCTCACGGGAGAAAGCCATCCCAACAGGTGTGGCTTCTTTTGGGTCATCGTTTTCAACGAGCTGCCTTACGCAATGTATAGCATCAAATCTAGCGCAAACACGCATGCATTCCTTCTTGCAATTGTTGCGCGGCCAGTGACAGTTGGACGGCTGCTGACGGTACATCGGGTGACGTTTCCCAAAGCATGTTGTTCAACCGAAAGCACCAATTGCCTTGAATGTGGTCGCCGCTACGCACGCTCGCGAGAGGATGTGTGGACGCTCTTCATGATCATTGATCAAGATCAGAATGGGCTCATCGACATCGATGAGTTTGTGACTTGTCCAAACTAAGCTGACCTGCCTGCCATTTTGTTTAGTTTCCGTTGGTGCTGCATGGGTGTGCAGCCAAGCCCAGTGGTACCCCCAACTGCCTCGGAAGCCCGGGACGCTGCGGAACCCTCCGGAACCTGCGCTGCCAAGCCCTGCGTTCAGGCCACCCGTGTCTAGGGCCCCAAGAAACGACAACACTGGTTTCTCCCAAAAGCGGATCCCCAAAAATGGCGCCATCGCTTTTCCCTTTGGCTTCCCTTCAAACACGACTCACAGGGGTCTTTGTCCCATGTGCATGTGCGAACCCTGAGCCCCCAAAAAATCCTTCAACACAATGGCACAATGAACGAAGGTGAACGGCTGCATGCAGCTGCACGGTCCAGCGAAGAGCATCCAGCTGGCACGCATGAGCCACGAGAACAAGGCCAGATGTGGCAATACCCGCTTGTTTTTGGCTGTTCGAAGGTACTGTAGTCCTTCATCCTTACCTTGGTTTACGCAAGGGGTCCCCTTGTAGTGGCTTCCTTATGGGGATTACGGATTAGGACTGGCCAACCCCCACCTATTTGGGGTTAGTAGGGATCATCAACCCTCTCATAGAAAAGTTAGCCAACCATTGTGAATGTTCCTGTTTTGGGGTACCATGGCCACAGGCGTGCGGAGTTTGTTTGTTTGAACAACAAGGAACAAATGAAAGCCAGTTTCAAGACAAGCTTGTCTTCACATAGGGACTCCCCGTCAAAAGGACTCGACAAGGGTGTAAGTGTTGGGCAAAGACACAGGACGTGTTTTTGTTGAGGTGTCAAACTGTTCAAGTAGGCTATGACCAACTTGTGGGGCGACTCGAAAAACCCATGTGGACCCATTGCTGGAAGCCGGGGTGGTTGAATGCTGGACCCAGGGTGAACCTCCAGAGAAATGCATGGCTCTGTCTTTAGACTTTGGATAGGTGTTTTTGTTGGTTTCCCGTTAAAGCCACTGAACAGGTCAAGTCCCTTGAAGCCAATCCAAAAATGGTGCAGTTGGAAGACATCATGATGATGTTGAAAGCATCATGATGATACCACAGCCACTCAGCATGTGCGCTAAATAGACACGAAGACAGCGTCCTAATGAGTTCAGCAGCAAACATGATGATGTTGACAGCATCATGCTGATGCACCAGCAACGAACGATTCCGCGCCACATATCTAGCAGTAAAAAGGCAGAGACGACGTCCTGATGAGTTCGACAGCATCATGATGATGCGGACAGCATCACGATCATGCGGACAGCACCACCATGATGCGGACAGCATCATGGTGATGCGAACAGCATCATGGTAATGGTAAAATTTAAAAGGCAGCATCATGATGATACCACAGCCACGAATCTTCTCGCGACAGCGTAGTGAAATTCAGCATCATCCTGATGTTGGCAGCAATCATGGCGCCACCACACCCACGAACCATAACGCAGCATCGCAGCATCGCAGTGACAGCAGCATCATGACGCGGGTGACAACATCATGATGACACACCAGCCACGAAACACGCACCATGACAAACGACCGTTAGACTACTAGAGCAGCAACAACGTCCGAACCGGTTCAACGGCATCATGAAACAGCACCCGCCCTAGCACCCTGCCCACACCGTCACCAACACCTCAAGACAGCAGCCCCAACAGCACCCCAACGCAGCACCCACACCAGCATTGGACAGGTCCCCGAGCACCGAGCACCTTGCCGTCACGTACTGTCACCAGCCCGAACAGCACCTCAAAACTGTACCTGCGCCAGCACCCCAAAGTGCATGCCCCCTAGCTCCCAACCGTCGATCTTGCAAAACAACCCCACTTCTTCGTTAGAAGTTAGAACCCCGGCAACCCAACACAGCAGTTGCACCACCACCCCAAACTGCGAGCTTGACCCGGCCGTCAATCTCGCAAAACAGCACCTCCACCAACACCCGAAACCGCATCTCTCGCAAAACAGCACCTCCACCAACACCCCAAACTGAATGCCTTTAGCGCCCGGCCAACTCTGGCAAACAGCACCTCCACTAGCACCCCAAACTGCATGCCCCCTAGCACCCGGCCATCACTCTCGCAAAGCAACACCTCCACCAGCACCCACTGCATGCCCCGTAGCGCTCGGCCATCAATCTCGCAAAGCACCTTCACCAGCACGTCACACCTGGCACCCGGCCGTCAATCAGCACCTCCACCATCACTGTCGCAGAACAGCACCTCCACTAGCACCCCAAACTGCATGCCCCCTAGCACCCGGCCATGCAAAACAGCACCTCCACCAACACCCGAAACCGCATGCCCCCTAGCACCCGGCCATCACTCTCGCAAAACAGGCAAACACTCTCGCAAAACAGCGCCTCCACCAACACCCCAAACTGAATGCCTTTAGCGCCCGGCCAACTCTGGCAAACAGCACCTCCACTAGCACCCCAAACTGCATGCCCCCTAGCACCCGGCCATCACTCTCGCAAAGCAACACCTCCACCAGCACCCACTGCATGCCCCGTAGCGCTCGGCCATCAATCTCGCAAAGCACCTTCACCAGCACGTCACACCTGGCACCCGGCCGTCAATCAGCACCTCCACCATCACTGTCGCAGAACAGCACCTCCACTAGCACCCCAAACTGCATTCCCCCTAGCACCCGGCCATGCAAAACAGCACCTCCACCAACACCCCAAACTGCCTGCCCCCTAGCACCCGGCCATCACTCTCGCAAAACAGCACCTCCACTAGTAGCATGCCCCCTAGCACCCGGCCATCACTCTCGCAAAACAGCACCTCCACCAACACCCCAAACTGCATGCCCCCTAGCACCCGGCCATCACTCTCGCAAAACAGCACCTCCACCAACACCCCAAAACTGCATGCCCCCTAGCGCCCGGCCGTCAAGCTCGCAAAACAGCACCTCCACCAGCACCCCAAACTGCATGCCCCCTAGCACCCGGCCATCACTCTCGCAAAACAGCACCTCCACCAACACCCCAAACTGCATGCCCCCTAGCACCCGGCCATCACTCTCGCAAAACAGCACCTCCGCCAGCACCCCAAACTGCATGCCACCCGGCCGTCAATCTCGCAAAACAGCACCTCCACCAACACCCCAAACTGCATGCCCCCTAGCACCCGACCATCACTCTCGCAAAACAGCACCTCCACTACTAGCACCCCAAGCTGCATGCCCCCTGGCACCCGGCCGTCAAGCTCGCAAAGCAGCACCTCCACCAGCGCCCCAAACTGCATGCCCCCTAGCACCCGGCCCTCAATCTCGCAAATCACTTTCCTTCTTTATTAGAAGTAAGAACCCCTATAGCTTTCAGCTATCTGGGGAACAACATTGCCCAAAGCCCGATTCCTATCTCATGTTACAACGGCATGCGGATCGTGCGCATGTGAAAATGCACCTGCAAGACCGCAATCGCTTTTGTTAACAAGTGGGCTACGAATTGCATGGGGATCCACACTGCCAGACATGGTGAACTAGCACCATATTTACCATCAGCATATACTTGGATTACAGCAGAATATTTTGGAACACGCAGTGGAAACCGATCAGGAAATATGATGTTGCAAAGGCCAGCATGTTGGATATGCACACATCACAGCGTGATCTACCTGCCACTCCCTTTCAGTAGCAGTTCGGCTTCTACCGGTCTTGTTGTTTATGCTAGCGGGGGGGAAACCGAACACCAGAACTGGGATCGTGTCCACGCCACAGACCTATTTCTTCTCCCCACCACGGACCGGGGGGTGGTGTGTTTGTTTTCTGAACCCATTCATCTCCATGCAACACGTTATCATTTTGGCTCAAGGCCCTTCATGTCACACCTCAGACGTACATAGCTCACTGAGCCATTGCATCCGTGCTAGCGGACCACTTTCAGGATAAACCACAACACACAGCTTACCAGGGCTTATCCAGTATCAATCCCTCAGTATTGACACTTGGAACTCTCCGGAATAGATCCAGGGCCACCACATAAAGATCCTCTACTACCACAAGGTATTGGTTCCCTTTGGGGATAAGATGCCCCTGGCAGTGGGTTCAGGTTCGGGGGGGGTCGGGTGGGGGGTTGGTGTTTTCCTTGGCAACATCACGTGCTTGTCTGAGAGAAATCCTAGAAGCCATTCAACAAGTGATGCCATTGAAGACGGTGCGATCTTGGAGCTGAGCTGTCAAAACGTGGGGCGCCAGGCTTAGCGTTTCTCGCTCTGAAATTGCTTGTTTTAAGTGGCTCTGCCAATGCAAACTCATTCTCGGTTCCAAAAACAGGGTTCGGTGTTCCGCCCGCACGGTTTGTAAATGCACCTGCCAGACCGCAATCTTTTTTGTTAACAAGTGGGCTACGAATTGCATGGGGGTCCACACTGCCAGACATGGTGAACTAGCACCATATATACCATCAGCATATACTTGGATTACAGCAGAACATTTTGGAACACACAGTGGAAACCGATCAGGAAATATGATGTTGCAAAGGCCAGCATGTTGGATATGCACACATCACAGCGTGATCTACCTGCCACCCCCTTTCAGTAGCAGTTCGGTTTTTACCTGTCTTATTGTTTATGGGGGGCATACTAAGGCCGAAAGAATCCTTGTGAGCATCTTGGTCGAATCACAAGTCCAAGGGTTTCGCGGCCGCGTTGCCTATCCGCAACACGTCAGGTGACGCGCCAAAGCATCAAAAAGCTAATCAACGAGATCATCGAGCTGCGCTCGGAGGTGCAGAATCTCACGGAGGAAGACGGGTCCGACGGGTCCGACGCGTCCCAAGAGGAAGAGGAGAGCTGAGGAGCTGAGGAGCTGAGGAGCGGAGGCTCAACGCCACAGTGCTCGCAGAGAGGATCTTGCTGACCTTGGTTCAAAGGGAAAAGGAAAATCATTTGTGGGGTCACCATATATTTGTTTGAATCTGGGACCCTTTGGCTTCCCGTGTAAAGTCGTTCCTGAGGGATCAGCTCACTACGCATGAGCTTCTCAAGCTTTCATGGGGAAGCCTTTGGGCCCGCTATGCAATCCGACGTGCCTCGTGTTTGACGCAGAATCCAACAAAAGTCCCACCCCCGACGTGAGATACCTCTAAAAATGAGGGTCTTGCTGGTTCCATGTTCAACTTGGCGTGAAAGGTAGAAACAAACTAATTCATTAGTGCAAAATCCTTGCATGCGTTTGGCTGAGCAAGAACATGCCAAATAGGAACAACGCCATGTGCAATCACCGCAACATGTCAGTGCATGCGGAACAGATGACTCAGCCTATGCTTTTTTGGTGCACCTGAAGGACATCCTCCTTAGAAGCCTTCAGAGACTTCCCTGGGAAAGCACTCCTTGATATTCATCCACCTGGCTCTGGTATGCTAAAGTGCTCAGATGCGACCCCGTGATCAGAACATGTTGCTTTTTGTGAGAAAAGGCGATAACTGGGGAGTTGTGTAAAGTCTAAAACATAGTAACATAGTAGTCACGGATTGGCTTGTCCGTTACCCGGTTGCAATTTTGTGTGCATGTCTGAGGTTTCAAGGCAAGGAGCATGTCATTTGCAGCGTGCAGGTTGAAGCTGCAGTGACGAGCACGTGCCAGAGCAAAGGGTGAGTAGCCAAACGCTGGGAGGTTGAGGTCTCGGCAGGATGCTTCGTGCGGTTTCTCCAGGGCCCAAGAGTAAAAATGCTGAGGCCACATTTCTTCCCACATATGAATGGTTTCAATACCTTTCCCCACGGGAGACCGATGTTTGGTTGTGCCGTCGCCGTCCGTTTGCACGCGAGCCCCGCTTGGGGCTTGTCACGGCCGCTTGGTTTCAAGGGGCATTCACAGTTTTCTGCGGACTGGTGGCGAACGGCCACCCTCCGAATTGTTTTGTCAAAGCATGCGCGACTCCAAGTTGCTGAGGTTGGGGTCCCCGTTGTTTGTTTCTTCTTCTGCCAATGAATGTGTAGCGTGTAGCGCCCCATGTTGGATTGAATAGCAAATTCTGTGGATGGACGAAATCCTGCACCGCCCAACAAAGCTTGGGATGATTCCCCTGTAAATGCCAACAAATACTTGTTTACCATTGTTTCAAAGTGGTGCGAAATGGATTCCGTCCATCCACAGTATGGTGCTGGACACGAGTCATTGGGCCAACTTGTTGAAGGAGTCAAGATATTTTACTGCAATTCACCGGATGCCATATATGCCGGTCTCAAAGAGACCCTGGCGTGACACAGCGGAGTGGAAAATGAAGCGAATAGCCGTGGTCCCACCTGGTCCATCTCAAGTCAGGTTTCCTAACAAGGGCTGCAAAACAAGAGGGTCTGTTTCCGCTTGATTTGCTTTGATGATGTTGTAAAACGAGTTCAAACGAGTCCAAAACGAGATCAAGGTTTTGGCATTGCGGAACCGGACGACTAGTAATTAGTCAGCTGCTTGTATGACGTTTGTCAACATCACGATTTATCACCACAAGAAAGTTCCCCAAGGTTGTTGAAAGGAAGTGTAAAGGAGCCGGAAAATGGACTTAGGACGGGCGCTCCCGATTGTTGGGAAGAGGACCGTCGCCTTGTGGGGCATTCTAAGAGTGCAAAAGCCACAAGGCAAGATCAGTTTCGATCAATGACGTTGATCTGATTCATGGAACACCTGTGCAACAATCCAATTCTTCAACGGAGGGGTATTTATTTTAGGTTGTTTTTTCTCTTTTTTTGGGGGGGAATTGTTTTTCGCTTTTGGCTTGATGGCTTCTTGGCTTCTTGGCTTTTTGGCTCCTTGGCTTTTCGGCTTCTTGGCTTTTTGGCTTCTCGGCTTCTTGGCTTTTCGGCTTCTTGTTGGTTTATGCGGCTTTTGGTGGCTTTTTGGCTTTGGCTTTTCGCATCCTCTGCATTCCCAGTTCCTCTTCGGCAGGTGGCGCTTTGGCTTGTGCGGCGTTTCGCTGGTTTACGCGGCTTTTGGCGGCTTTGGCAACACACCCTTTCATTGGTTTTGAACATGCGGGGAATGTTGAAAACGATGCTGGGGATGTTGGCGGGCTAGTGTAAGATGCTCAATTTCGCGAGAAAATGCTTTTACTGGCCCGGACGAAAAACTAAAAAAAATCCCCCCCCCCCAAAAAAAAAAAAAACGAAAAAAACATCCCAACATAAATCCGCACCCTTCTTCAAATGCGCCTGGTTGTCCTCGTTTCGGGATGTGTGATCGCTCATTCTTCAGGGCGTCGATGTCTAGGTTTTTTGAGCAGGTAAGAACATGTCAACATGTTGTTCGGCCGGACCTGAGTGTAGCTTGCCGAGCGGCAGGATCATCCAGGCTTCTTGTGGACCATCGAGATCCCGGAGAACTACTTCGGAGCGCGTAACATTCAGGTGGGTCCGGGACAGGCAAAGACACAAACGACGAGCAAACCTCACAACCTAGAATGACTGGATCAACTGCTGAATCTTCGAACTTGGGGGGGAAGCGGCTACTTCGCATCGGCTGGTACCCGTTTATGCTTGAGGTTAGGCTTGTCATTCTCCAATCTCATTGCGCCTCGGTGTCTTAGATTCCAGTTCGCTCCCATTGATGACCAACACCGCAACGAAGCGCTTCTCGCAAGTTGCTCCGTCGGGAGCCAGTTGCCAGAATTGAACAGCCCAGGTGAGCTGGGGTGGGCCGGAGCTGTTGAGATTTCGGTGCGTCTGGAGGTTGCCCTTGAAGGCTTTCCCTGAAACACAGCCCCCAAGACAAAGACAAGCACGGGCAGGTCGTGTGGTCAAAACAGTGCCCAGACAATGTAGATGGCCAAGATACAGAAACAGGCCGTCAAGCACATCCACTCGATCAGCAGGAGGATTGACAACGGGCACTCCTCACTAAAGTACTAATCCTAAGTGCGTTCTCTTCTTTGAGAAACTTCAGATGCCCCGGCGAAATGGGTTGCATCGCCCTATATCCAGAAGGTTTACAAGTCGTTGGTTCCTTCTCGCAGATCTTGACATGCTTGGTGGCTCCCAGCCATCCGCTTCCTTGGCTTTTTAGCCTTTTAGTTTGGTAGTTTCCATTTAAACCTGTTCACTTTTGGCGGATCCGAAAACGGGCAGAGCATAGAGAGTCCACCGAGTCCCAAAAAAATCTCAGGACGTGAGCTCGAGGCGCGGATGTGAATGGGCGGGACCTCTGGAAACGCGGAATGGTGACGGGGAGAAAATTACTTTTTGGGCTGAGTCCTGGATCTAAGACGGTGCCCGGTTACCATCACTGCCCTCAAACAGATAAACGCCAGGATTTGGTTGAATGGGATACACAGCCACTTTCTGGCCACTATACAAGGGTATTTACGCCGGAGTGGTTTGGGGGTAGTGGACACCATCTTGGAATTAAAGATGATCAACAGGGCTTGGGTGACCTCACTGCATGGTTGGAGGTAAATTCTTCCAACACCTACTCTTCAATCTATCGAGCTCTTGTTTGAGCGGGAAGTGGATTGAGTGTTCAATGGACTTTACCAAATCTAACGACCGAGTCAGGCTTCTTTTGTTTGCTGCGGGACCATTATGTACACTAGAGCTGGCTGCGAGCCAGTGAGCAAGGTGCTGCTTGTGATTGTGGTTTGCATGGAGCGACGTTGAATGGCTGCAAAAACCTTCGGGCTTCGTCTGAGAGCGAGAGCGTTTTAAGAAGTGGCTGGTTTTGAGCGCCTGGCACGCAGCCTGATGTGCATGTTTTTCTTGCTAGTGCTCAGTAGGGAATGTGGGAATGAACCCAGGGGCCCCCTTAAAGGCAAACCACCAGTTGGATGATTTATAAGGTGGAGGTTTCCACGAGGCAGTGAGTGGCCTGCTTGATTTGAGTCCAATTGAAAGGCGTGTTTTGGACGTACAATGAATGGTGTTATATTGGTTCCCCGGATAGCTTTATCTAAGAAACCAACCATTGGAAATTCTATAGGAATTGTCTGATGTTGGCGGGTAGTTGGCTAAATTCCCTTTAGAATTTCCTGTAGCTGGTTTCTATGACTTTAGGTATGGGGGGTTCTTACTTCCAAAGATTTGGGGTGTGTTTTTGGGCGAACTCGGGCCGGGTGGGGGCTGAAAGTTCTGGTCAGGATGCTGTTTGGGTGGTCAGGAGTTTTTTTTGGTCAGGAAAGAGCCATATCGGTCAAATGTCCCATGCTATGTGGGGTTTATTCTGGTGCAATGAAGTTCTTGTTGTTGTCAGGCACACACCCCGTATTTTGAAGCCATACGCGAGCCATAAACGTATTAATATGTACATGCATACAGACATATCATACATATACATAATATATAAATATATATGTTGGTGCGCCTTCTTTTGGCGTTTTTTTTTTTTTGATTTTGCCACGAAGAACCTCCAAGACAGACCTCCGCCCTCCGGCCACTGGGAGTGTCCCACGGCGCGGCCAGGTCCAACGAGTCGGAGACGCTCTTCCCGCCCTACTCGGCCTTCGAGGCCAGCTGTTGGACCGATCGACTGGAAGAAATCCTTGCGCAGGCGGACAACGGTTCGGGGGTCCGGGAAATCTGTTGGATTTTTGGTGTTGTTTTTTCGGGCAAGAGCTTGTTATGTATGTAATTTGACCTCAGCAAACCGCAGGTTTGCGATGGAGAGAATAAAGTGAAGCTTCCTTTTAAGGGGTCTGGTGTTGTATTTGTGTGAAGGAGTGTCACCTTGATGGACCCAAACGGAGTTGATGGTGCGGGAGCCTCTTGCGAAGGCGCGAACGGTTGGGTGGTGCCATCTGTTCTGCGTATCCTGCTTGCTTTTGTGCTTCTCTAGTTGTGTGTTTCGGCATGTTGCTTTATTGTAGATGTGTCCAATCCCGTTTAGGGTGCCGATGAACATGAAAGGCTGTGAACACGGGGGTCCAGCATCAACGCGCGACACTGGTAGCCTGATCAAGAACAGCGCAGCCCATATGCCCACTCTCACTCTCTATGGAAGTCAGGTGAGCCGAATTCAGGTGGAATTTCAGAATATCTCCTTGTCGAAGCTTCCATGAGAGTGAGGCTTGGTGGAATCACGACCCTCGTTTGGATGATGTTTAAAGAAGCCCAACTGGACATATTTGTGTTTCCTAGTGGTCAAATGTAAGACACCAATGTTCCTCAAGGTTGGACTTCACCAGAAATTCGGGAGTTGGCCGACCTGGAAATACCAGCGGAGCTTTTCGCCTGTCCGGGAAGGTCTAGTCAACGCAGCTCCGAAAGGTTACGGATCCGAGTCCTTTGGGCAGAAGAGTCACCGGATCCGCTCATTGAATCCATGAGAGTGGACAGTACTTTGGATACTCATGGACATGTGGACAGCGGGTCATTTCAAGAGGACTGTAGGTTTCCAAGACCAAAACTCTTCTGTCAGCTCGCACGCTTTGAGGTCTTGGATCTGGAGCGCGACCGGTGCCGCCTGCGAGCTGTGCCCTACCGCTGGGACGACGAATCTGTGATGAGCCAGGCGAGGTGTCTCAGTTACTGCACCTGACCCCAAAAAATCGAAATGGATCCAAGCACCCAAGGAACTGAGGTGAATGAGGGGTCGAAGCGCATCCTCACAGCTAACGTCCATCTGCAAGTGTTTTCATTGTGTGCTCCCACTACAGGCGGCGTACGAAGCGGGAAACAAACCCATAACCCATGTTGAACCCAGGCACATGCATGGAGACCCAAAAGTTTCCTTGCCCCCAAAGAACGGTATTTACGGTAAACTTTAGATGCGCATTCTTGGCATTACATCAAACACCATTTCAAACACCACGCGCGGCGAGTTGGCGCAGCATGCTCTTGAAGCCTTGGGAAAGTCTAAAGGAAACTTCACTCACAAAGCTGAAACCCGCTAGGATGTCTGATGAACCCCGCCCCCCCAGAGGTCGAGGTGCGGGCAAGAAGCCAAACCCGGAGTTTGGAGGATTCCCCTGGCCCACTTGAACAGCAAGAAAGTGGGAATCTGGCAGTGCGATGGGGCTGTAGTTTTAACAGGTTGCTCCGAGCCTCCACAAAAGTGCCACACCGACACTTCAAGATCGAGATACAATCAACACATTATACGATATCAGTGTTTGATATATTAAAATTTATAGTATATATACATCTGAAGCATGTTTGTATATGTCAATGTGCGAATAACATATTATGTGAACCTAGAAGCTCGCTCAGGTTTTCTGCTATTGTCGCAGCGACCAACTTGCTTCCCCAAGTTTTTGTGGATCAACCCTGGAATTTGGACCCGTCAGTCTACTGTGACTCACCCATCCGCGGCTCATCAGCATTTGATTGCTGAGCCGGGTCGAAGCTCTCTCAGGCCCAGGCTCCCAACGCAGATTCCTCTTGCAATGCGATGTGAAGGCACGGGCGGCCGTGATCAGAAGCGCCGTCGCAAGAAGGCGACCTTCAGTTGAGGTTTTGGCACACCCACAAAATCAACTATCCCCCCGCAAAAGGGTGGCATGTCCCAACATGGAATGGCCTCCTTCTGCGAATGGTTGACGACTACCCCGAACCAATCATTCGGACAGGGACCAGTTGAACACGCACCACCATGTCATTTTCACCAAGTAGGGTTCCGCAATACGTATATACATTGGTGTGAATTTGGGCCGTCCTTTGCTGCAAGTCATTTGTGAATGTTCACCTGCAAGGTCATAGGGAGGAGGGCCTGTAATTAAGAGCTTCCGGTGGATCCCAGCAGATTCCTCACATGGTTGTTGATCAGCGCCTTCGTTCAATACTCTTTGTGTATTTACGCTTTCTTTTGCGGTTTCTAAATACAGTCAGGGATTTGGATTGTGCAACTGTTCTTTGTTTTGAGAGAAAAAGCAATTGTCAAGTCAACAGAATTGTCACACGATAAACAGTGAGTCATACTCAAGATGCTGTTGAACATGAATCTGGGTGTTTTTGCTGTGAGCGCCATGTGAGCGCCATATTGAGGGGAGCCTAGCTTGTAGCTTTCAGAAGCTTCGGTCTTTGTCCTGGAGCTGCTGTGGAGAATTGGGCACCTCCTTCTTTACACAAGATCCTAGCAACTGCAACAGATTCATGTGGCATGCCAGTGATTGGTGCAACAATCTTGCGTAGGGCAAATCTATCCAGATTCTTTGCAGAGTCAGGCTGAAGAACCCACTTTGAGTGATTTGTTGCAGGACCTCTAAATTTATCATTTCCCGTGAAAAGAACCAGTCCTGATGAATTCGTGCCCCCAGCCTTAATGTTAACCCCGGACTAATAAACCCCTGCTTGATAAATTAAGGGGGTGTCCCGTTTAGTGGGGATTCATCACTTTTGGAGGGAACACCCCCCTAATAATGGGACAGGTTGATTAATCCTGGGTCAACAATACCTTGCAGCCCCACCCGATTGAAGGGTGGACTTTAGCCAGAACGTCGCTCAATCGTTTTTCGCTCCAGGCGAGCGACGGTCCTCGAGATTGCACTTGTGCATGATTCTTCCCGCGCGAGCGGCCGGAAGTGATTGGCAGGGTGGAGAAGAAGACTGAGTCGTCCTAATGGATTGGTGACACGCTGTCTTGGCCGCATGTTTGTCGCGTGGCTTTCCCTCCAAAAATATCAACGCAAATATGCGTTGCTTTTTTTGTCCATGGCCACGGGGTAACTCGGTTGACGTTTTGGCGGGGAATCTGAGGGAAGGCAAGGCAGCTTTCAGAAGTGACGACAAGTAGCAACATAAGTTTTGCTTGACCACGGACCTTTGATCAGGGACCTTTGATCTTATTACTTGACTCAACTTTCTTGGCTACAACTCTGCACTTGGAATCCCAGTTTACTTTGCGAAGAGATATTCATCCTGAAAGCAAAACATAACAACACTCAAGATGTTGTTTGTTAGCACACAACAGCACAATTTCACACTTTGTATTCCAGAGCAATGTGAAGCATCACAGAAAGCACGATTCGGGCATCCGACAGGATGTTGCTCTCCAGCCTGACACGCCCGAGGCTTGCCAAGCAAGCTTCGGATGGGCTAGTCACGCTTGAGGTCGCGCTGGCCTGATACGACCTTTGGTTCGTAGTGAGCGTAACTGGGGTGAAGCGTGCTCAGGTTTCTAGGTGCCTTTCCCTTGGTCGGATCCATGTTTTGCTGGAGGCTGGCGGATTCTTCTGCAGCTCATGCCAGCCTGACACAAGCAGGCAACTTGATATGTGTTGCTGGAAAAGCTGCCGTCATCCTTCATTATCACAGCAAATATGTCGTCTTAGGTATTCTGTTCCACGACGCACTTGCTGGGCATGATGTAGCCCGCATACACACCTCAAAGTCCATCAGATGAGCAGTACTCTTTGTGAGGGAACACATCATGCATGTTTTGCTTGTAGAGACCATGTTGTGAGAGTTCGTTCTGCTGACATGTTGCTAGTTCTGTTTCATGCCCAGAAGCTTTAGTACGTCGACAGCTGCGTATGTGTTTCATTTCTTTGTCCTGTGGTGGATAATGCACAATGCTCGGCAGTCACGAAAGAAAGAAAGACAGACAGAAAGAAGGACAAATAGAAGAAAGGAAACACAATGGAAGACTCAAATCAAAAATGAAAATAAAACAAAGTACGGAAAAAGGAATAAATATGACAAAGCGCAAGAAGATGAACACAATAAACAAAAATACAGAGACACATAACCATAGTTGTTTGAATTTTTTACACTTCCGCCCATCGGCGTCGCCGGCTCTACTGGTATTGATAATATGTTGCTCGACGTATCTTCCGGTTTTCCCGGCTTAGCATTCTGTTCCGTCGACTTAGCTGCTTGCTTTCTGACTCAACAAATAACTGTGAGCAACGTTGACCACATGATCTGGTTTTTGTGCACGGACCGCGTTGTGTGAAATCAAGCCATTGGGGCCAATTTGTACAGGAGAGGCTGCCCGCGCATGGGCGACTGCAAGCTGTCCAGAGCCTGGATGCTTGCAGGCTTTGCTCAAAAGATCTGCGCTTTTCCCAGATGAGCAGTGAACTCGTACGCACATATCTCGTGCTGCAACCATGACATATGTGCCAGCGCCACTCCATTTGATTGAGGTCTAAACGTATCAAGCTTGATTCGAGCCATAATTGTTCGCACAGAACCCATGAACGTAGTTGCCGCAAGGAACAGTTGGACTCGTTGAAAGACCAGCTGCATTTGGGGTGAATTCATTCATCTTGAGAAACCTTCCTGCAAGTGTGAATGGAACCCAGACAGAAGATAAGTTCATCAACCTTAAGAAGCCTTCCCTGCAAAATATTGTGAACCCCTCCAAAAGGGGGGTTCCCCAAAACAATGTAAAGACAATGGTCAAGCGTTCAGTCACGTTTGACCAGCAGCCTCAGCATGTGAGTAGGTTGGATGGCTTGCCTTCCCAAATTTGCCAGACATAGGATCTTAGCTTTGACACATGCATATTTAAATGGGCCTTTCAAAACATGGTTGACAGCGCATTTGGAATCACCTCAATCCAGAGCCGGGCCTGCCTGGAACTAAGAACAAGCACCCTTGTGCAGAAGTCTGGCTCCATGGTGTGTGCATTTGTGCACAAGCGCGGCACTTGCGCGCTCGATTTCCTGCATAGCGGCTTTGGCAGGCCACATTGCTTTTGACCGGAAAGAAGGTATCCTCGCTGCGAGCCAACGGCGGCCAATGGGCTCAATCGGAGGCTGACAAAGTAAGTTGGATATGATAATCACCATCCCTCAAATAGGACCCCCTCCGTATGGGAAGTTTTTTTGACGGGAATCAAGCCTAAAACTCATATTGAAAGGGGCTTCCTTCATGGTTGAAGACCTAAGTTGTGCGGAATCCATCGAGAATCCAATCGCAGCTTTCCAACCCTCACTGATGTCGGATGGTGCAAAGCGGCAAAGGGGTTGCCTTTGATGCGTTCCAGGAACTGAAGGTTCCCGGGCCGATTCTCTGCAGTTTTGTCAGAAGAATTGATCGAGTTCCAAGTGCGGCCTTGCGCCGAAGGCTTCCCCTTGGCTCGCTTGAATGGCAGTGAAACACATTATCCCGGGTCGGAGTGATTAAACACCTCCCATGTCTAAGTGAGTTTCTTTGCAGCGATGTGGTTTAAAAGTGGAAAATGTTGTCAGGAGACTTGCAATCAGCTGCTCCAAAGAACTGTAGGGTGTTGAACACCGGTTGGGATCCTTTCCCAGCCTTGATTTGGCAAACATCGGGGGGATGGGGGGGGGGTCTGCCAGACTTGAGGCTGGCTTTGTTGTTTCACCAACCGTCCGACAAGGGTCCGACAAGGGTCCCTAATTTTGACGGGGAACTGGGCTCGCAACAACCAAGTGGGGTATTGAACATGAGTTCAATCAATTCTGTTGAAGTTGAGAAAGTTGTTCCCCCCCAAAAAAAACAACAACACGGACACCCTGCTAAGTATCACATGGGTGGATGTCCCAAGTTCTTCCGCCTCGCCAGGTCTGAGAGAGCACTTCTGCGGCTCTTGAACCACCGCGATTTGGAGGCCCAGAGACGACGTAGGTGGTGTGCGACTGGTGTGCATGGCCCGCTGTATTCGGGATGGCTGTGGATCCACCTGGGATCTAAAGCGGTCCCTTGCGCCCAGAGATACGGCTTAGCCGTGATTTGAGGCTGAGTACTGGGGGGTGGTTTTTGCATGGATATGGCACCACATGTCGTATACGGGTTTACCCTTTTGCAACGACTCTACGGCTTCCTTTTGCAGCCGACCCCTGCGTTGTCATTCGAAGGGGCCGAAGGCACATATTTTCCATTGGACCTCACCCCACCAAAAGGAAACTCACTTCAATCTGGGCTTCGTTCGCGAATCCTCCTCTGGAGTGCCCTGTTCGAGGTGCACTTCAATCTACCCCTTCAAGCGGAATGGGTGGGTGTCAAATTAGTGGGATTGGAGGGTTTCCCTTTAAAACCAGCCCAAACAGATTCTCCTCGAACCAACCCATATCACCCATGGGATTCAGCGCAGGTTGTGAAGAAGGTCCGCTTCATCGGGGACAAGACCGCAGCGCAGATCTTGAGCTTCCGCAGAAGGGAGGCGAGGTATGGGAGATGTGGCATAGCACCCCTGGTAGGGAAGCAGCACCTCCTTGGGATTGGGGATGGTGGTAGAGTAGATGTGGGTCATGGGCATGCATCCCTCGAATGGAATCAAATCGCTGAATGCAAGGGGTGTCCAGCGAAGCAAAACCGGTGCTTTGAGCAACCCAAGGGATGCATATTCAATCATTTGGTTCAATACTGGCTTGAGTTACATCACGCTAAGTGTTTCTAAGTTTTTCTGCCTTGGGACAGACTGTAGTTGTTGGAATCGTTTAACAGCGTTATATAAACATTTGGACTCGTATCTGAGGTTGGTGAAAT